TGCTTAGAAAGATAAATTTTATTATCCCCAAAAAAAAAAAAAACAAAAGGTGTGATTTTCTTCTAAAAATGTTATTTATTTAAATTTTATTGACTTTTTAGTGTTTTTTGATTCAATTCAGAAAAGTAGTACTCGTATTGTATAATAGGAATTTAAAAACTGAAATTTTATATAAAATGTAATGCTCCACGAGAGAAGGGACCTTACGTCAAAAAAAAATTTTTAGGTTATGTTTAGTGATTGTTTTACCCTAATAGAAAGTTTCTTTTTAATTACATAAAATCAAAAATAGTTTTTTTTTTAATTTTTCGAATGTAATAATAAAATATAAATTTTTTGTATTTAAATTGTATTCTCTGTTAAGTATTTTTTTATTTTAAGTCATAAACATAACATAAATTTTTTTTTTTTTTTTTGACGTAAGATCCCTTCAGTCGTGGAGTGTTACAAATGTTACAAATACATAATAATTTTTGTAATTAGTAAATTAAATATTTGTCGCATTCTTTAAGAAAGGTACTTAAGAAGCAAACAATTTTAGGTTATGTTTTGAAATTTTTAAGTAAAAATAAAAATAAATAAAATAAACCTTTCTTCGGCGAGCGAAAAATATTTATAATAAAATTTAAAAACATTTATCAAAAAAGTTATTTACAATTTTATTAAAATTACTAATTACACCCAGAGAAAAGATAAATTATTTGTGTCAAAGCCAAATTAATATTTATTTGTTTTAAATGGATTTTATTTGGTGTAAATAAATTTTATTTGGTTTAAATAAATTTAATTTACTTTAAATAAATTTTATTTGCTTTAACAGAAAATTTTACTTATGCTAAATAAATTTAAAAATTTTTAAACAAATAAAAAGTTTATTAAGCTTTAAAACAAATATAATTTTATTTGATTGAAATAAATTTTATTATTCTCTAATAAGAGGAACTTAAAATATTTCTCTTGGTGTTTAATTTTATTATTAAAAATTTTTTAAACTATCTATTTTCAATAATGTTAATTTTATACTCGTTTCGTAATTTAACACAATTTTTTTTTATTAATATAACTGAAAATACACGAAAAGATACATACAGAGAGAGAGAGAATAATGTGAAATATTAATATATTGATAGACCTATCTAACTAAAATGTTCCTCAGCGTGGAAAACCGATATGGTTAAATATATATATATATATATATACTCTTGTCATACTTTAAATGAACATTGAATAAATTTAAATTTTTACTTCAATGAAAAGTACATATATAACTTTCAAATGAGAAAATAAATAAATTTCCTTGCTGTCAAAAAAAAAGAGAGAATAATTTATTTTTTATTGAAGTGAAACATAAAATTTTTTTTTATTTAATCGATTGAAATTTTACGAAAAATATTTATACTTTTTTTTTGTTGTTTATGAGATTTGGAAAAATAAAAAAAAAAAGTTGTAAAAAGAAAAAAAAATATGGAAAGATATATAAAATTGAGGACGTGACATTTAACAAAGAGGGTTTCTCCCATGAAAATTGCACAATCAAATTAAATCCCAATGGTGTTGGTCGTGAAACACGAAACTGGACGCTTTTTGAATTTCCATTTGGATGTCCAGTCGAATTCGTACATAACGCGTTTGGCTTAATTCATTTAAATGCTCCATTGAGCTGTGTAGGCACTGCACAGGCACAGGCTGCTGCCTACATAGCATGGCGGGTGAACCACCAGTCCTGTATTTATCCCATGGACCACGATGACCATTTCACTTCTATCGTTCTATCCTCTCTTTCTATGCTACCAACCTCATGCTCAGCTGAACCAACACCAAAAGCAACCGTTTGCCTCTATGTTAAACCCGGTGTTACACAACCTATTTTACATACAAAAAACAAAATTTGCTACTTTACACTATTTTATATCAATATAATGTTCTCCTCTTAATATAATTATGTATTCAATGTGATCAATTATTTGCAAGAAATTTTTTTTAAACTTTCTTAAATTGAAAAATAAAAATTAAATTATTTGAATTTCCCGCCTATGTAATCTACTTTACCGACGTGTCATAGAGTGGAAATTCGTAGAACAATTTGATACATAAGTTAAATTAAAACGCGTTGGCAGTTAAACTTTGTTTTCTTCAATTAATAATAATAATTTATTTGTAAATTTGTAATATATGTTAACAATAATAAAAGTATTATTAATTAAAGTGAAAAAATTAATGGAAAAATTTTTTTTTCAATTTCTCGACAAATCTATTGTACCGACAGAACATAGATGGGAAATTCATTGGGAAAAATTCACTCAAATGGTTATTCATATAAATAAAAATTCGCTAAAATTGAACATTCTATCATGTGTAAATTATTTTAAAATGAAAATTCAGTGTAATAGAAATTCTTTTATTTTTCATTTTATAAAAAATATATTTCCTGTTAATGACAATTGAAATTTAATTTACATTTTTTTTTTGTATATTTTCCTTCAATTTACAAAAAGAATTAAATTAAATTAAAAATAAATAAATTTAAAACAATGGTATTTATTAAAAAAAATTTAATTATTTCCTATATAAATATATAAATCAAGAGAAGAAGTTGGAAAATTTACAGAACTTGAAATGTATTTGTATGTTGCGTTATATATAAGTCTTACACGGTTATAACTTCGCCTCATATTTCACATTAAAGAGCTTACATCTTACTCAAGTTTTAAATGTTTCTAAGTAGAGTAAATGCATGGAAAGTTTGTTTACAACATTCAACGTTAATAAATTAGTTAAAATTCGTTTTACAATTTTCATATAATTACCACTTTCTCTATGGTTGGTAATAAAATTCGAAGCGAGGGAAATAATTTAAAAATGAAAATATTTTTTAATATTTTTACTTTATAAATTTAAATTAGTGCAAAATTTCTACTAATTTTTAGACATTTTTCACTAAAACATTTTTACATTCAATTGGAATTAATTAAATTAATTCAACATTAAAAAAATAATACATGCCTATATAATTTAATATAATAATAATATATTAAAATAATATAATTGTAAATATTTAATTTTACATACTTTGTAATTAATAATATAATTAATTATCACTTTGATTGTTTTTCGATACAATAAATTATTATCACTTTATTTTCACATATAAAATAATAATAATAATAATAATTACCTATACTCGTTTTTTATATTTAAAAACAGATTAAACGACAAAAGTGTACTAAATATGATTTTATTTTTACAATCAACTATACTTTAGTGGTATTTTATTTATCTTCTTTTTTTTATTACAACTGTTATATCCAAAACAATTTTTGTTTGAAAAAACAAAACACAATTATTGCCTTAAAAATAACGTGATATAAAAAAATTGTGTTAAAATTTTCCAAAATATAAAAAAGAATCGTAACGTTGAAATATTTTTTGAAATTCTATTTAAAAATTTAAAAAAAAAATTTTATTTTATTATTTAAACAATTTTTTTATTAATTATTAAACAATATTAACCATTACTAGTCATTATTAATTATTATTAATTATTAATCATTTTTATTTATTATTAATAACTATTAATCAATATTAATCACTAATAATCATTATTAATTATTAATCATTATTAATCAATATTAATTAATAGGTATTAATCAATATTAATCACTTTTATTAATTATTAATAAATATTAACCATTATGCCATTATAATTATTGATCATTATTAATCATTAATGATCAATATTAATCAATTTTAATCAATATTAATCATTATTAATTAATATTAATCAATGTTAATCACTTTTATTAATTATAAATCAATATTAACCATTATGTCATTATAATTATTGATCATTATTAATAATTATTAATCATTATTAATCAATATTAATCAATATTAATCATTATTAATCATTATTAATCATTATTAATCATTATTAATCATTATTAATCATTATTAATCAATTTTAATTAATTTTAACCATTATGTCATTATAATTATTGATCATTATTAATAATTATTAATCATTATTAATTATTATTAATCATTAATGATCAATGTTAATCAATTTTAATCAATATTAATCATTATTAGTCATTAATAATCAATATTAATCAATTTTAATCAATATTAATCATTATTAATTAATATTAATCAATATTAATCAATATTAATCACTTTTATTATTTATTAATCAATATTAACCATTAGGTCATTATAATTATTGATCACTATTAATCATTAATAATCAATATTAATCAATATTAATCAATATTAATCATTATTAATCATTATTAATCATTATTAATCATTATTAATCATTATTAATCATTATTAATCATTATTAATCATTATTATTCGTTATTAATTAATATTAATCAATATTAATTACTTTTAATAATTATTAATCAATATTAACCATTATGTCATTATAATTATTAATTATTATTAATCATTATTAATCATTATTAATCATTATTAATCATTACTGATCAATATTAATCAATTTTAATCAATATTAATCATTATTAATCATTGTTAATTAATATTAATCAATATTAATCACTTTTATTAATTATTAATCAATATTAACCATTATGTCATTATAATTATTGATTATTATTAATAATTATTAATCATTAATAATCAATATTAATCAATTTTAATCAATATTAATCATTATTAATCAAAATTAGTCATTAATAATCAATATTAATCAATTTTAATCAATTTTAATCAATATTAATCATTATTAATCAAAATTAGTCATTAATAATCAATATTAATCAATTTTAATAAATATTATTTATTATTAATTAATATTAATCAATATTAATCACTTTTATTAATTATTGATCATTAATCATCATTATTAATCATGAATAATCAATATTAATCAATATTAATCAATATTAATCAATATTAATCATTATTAATCATTATTAATCATTATCAATAATTATTAATAATTAATAATTATTGTTATTTTTGGTTAATTATAGTTTTTTCTCTTTTCTTTGTAAAGTTTAATAATTAAAAAAAAAGAAAAAAGAAAATAATTCGTATTTTACGTATGAGAAATCGATAATTCAAATATTTTTTCATGTATATTTTGAATATTTCGCATAACTTTAAGTAGAAAAACTTCTTTTGTTATTGGTGTATTATGTATTTTTATATAATCTATCTCTTTTCCATTAATAATTTTTTTCTCTATTTTCTCTAATGTAAATTCCATATCTGGTAAAATAACAACAGGAAATTCAGTAGTTGGCGCAACTGTTTGTACATGTGATGTCAAATATTTATTATCCAAATTAAATTCATATAAAATAGGCACTTTTTTACGTCTTTCATTTTTACTAATGTCAACAATATAATGTTCTATGTTTAAATAATTATGCGCTACAATTTTACTAGTTGTTGTATATAAAAGTTTATTTGATATAAATGTTTCTCCTTTTAATTCGTTAATTTCTTTTTCAATTGTTAATGGATCTTTCATTTGTACCATAAATAATAATCCCGGTAATTGTAAATGATCTTCATCAATGAGACTAATTGTTAATTTATTAAGTGCCATACGAATATTTAATTGTGTAATGTAATTAAAATTTTTAATTGTATAATCATTGTTTATCCAAAGTAGAACAGAATAATAATCTTCAAATGAAATATATTGATTTGCTTTATTTTTATTGTATGCATTAAAAACTTCAATTATTTTTATTTCATTTATTATATTAAAATTATCACCATGAATTGCGCGTATTTTATTATTTGCTGTTTGAAAATCAGGTTTTATAGGACCAACATTTTTTCTATAAAGAAGTTTATAAATTTCTATTGAATTTGGTATTGACCATTCATTATAAATTGGATTTATATCATTGAATTTAATCCAATCGCGTGCAAAATCTTCATATGTTGGTGCATTAAGTAAATATTTATCTAAACTTTTATCAAGTTTATTATAATCATCGCCTAAATATTGTTGAATTATATTTGGATCATTTAAATCCATTAATTTGGAATTTTCAATTGTTGGATTAATTGTATCTAATTTAATATCGCCAATCATTATTGGTTCTTGTTTTATTGTTAACATATATCGTAGTAAAATGTTTTGTGCTTTTGCTCTTGTTATTGTTTTAGTTCCCGTCATTATTTCAACAGCTTTTTTCATTTGTTGAATTCTTTCGGATTTTATTTTTTTTTTACCACTAAGTCCCTCGGTTACAATTATTGTAATATGTTCACGAAATGGTAATGTTACGGGACGTAATACATTGTTACTGTTTAATGTCCATTCAATACCCTCTGGTAATTCAGTGTGTAAATTAATTTTTCTATAATAAACCTTACCCCATGTTGAAACTCTTGATACAACAACGGCAAATTCTTCTTTGAAACCAATTATATGCTTTAATTCCGCATTTCCATTACTTAGAGATATGTATTTACTTCCAAATTGTTTATTACCACCGGGATAAATATATCGAAATACATCGTGACCTTCTTTTCTATCAATTACAATTCTAGTCATTCCTGAATTATCCATTGATTTTCGTTTATTAATTAATAATTTTTGCCATAATTTTTTACATTCACGTAAATCATAATGCAATAGAGATGTTTTTTTTACTGTTTTCGAAATATGTGAAATTATTTTTTTTATTTGCATTCCTCCATTTTTTAAAATTTTATATGATAATTCAATACCAGGATCTATTGCTTGTATTACACTAGTGGCAAGACTTTTTAGAATGTTTTGATTGAAAATTATATTTCTTATCGATAATGTTGATTTAATTAGAAATTTTATTGTTGAATGAAAAATATTTCTTAATGTAAGTGTTTTTAACATTGTACCTGATAATTTTAACATTGAAATTACTGTCATATCAGTGATACGAAGAAGAATTTTCATTGTTTCACCAACAACGGGAATAAATGAAATACCATCTTGTAAACAAGCGAGAGTGGCGTCTAAAAATTCACCATCTTTACTGTATTTAATACAATGATAAAATGGCACAAATTGCAATAAAATATCAATTATACGTTCATCCGTTGTTTCTTCATAACCAAAATTAAATAACTGTTTTTGAAATAATTTTGTCTTTTCTTCAGCAATTCTATTTTTTAAAATTTCAAAATTTTCACTTGAATGCTTTAAAACTAATGGAAATAAAGATTCTTCAAATTCGGTATCTTTGGGTAATTCTAATTTTTTCACAAATACCACACGATTGTCATTATAATTTAATAATGTAACATTATTTGAATTTATAACAATTGCATATAAATCTTCTCTATTGTCATGTTTAACTATAATTAAAGCGGCATTTTGTTTTACATTTGATTGAATAGGTGCACAAGCAAGTGGATAACAATTTATAAATATTGGTGTGGTTTTACCTCGAACAACATTTGTAGATGATGAATTAATTAAATCCGTTAAATTAGCTTTGTCAAATGCTTCTTGAAGAAAATCATTTAAAAGTAAAAAATATTTTTCCTTAATTTCATCAACATGTTGTGAATAAATATCATTGAGATTTGGTAATTTAATTCCGCTAATTGGACAATTAGTATTTGATGGAAATGTTTTATATTTTATAATTAATTGTTCTAATAAAATTTTATCTTTATTAAGGGGACAATTTTTAGTTAAAATTCTCTTTGCCCAATTTGTACGTGTTTTATAATTGGCCATGAAAAATTGAAATTGATATAAATTATTTGTTGTTAATTTCTCATTAATTGTTTTAAAGGTTTTATTTATGAATTTAAAAAGTAAATTAAAAGCATTGAACCATGTTTTTTCATTTTCAATTAATAATGCAATTGGTTTTTTTTGAAAAATTTCTTTTTCCTTGTGCGCATAATACAATAAGGCTGGAAGAAAGAAAATTTCCAAAAATGAATCATTTAATTTAGTTTCAATTATTTTCGATTCAATTGGTAATGATAGGTGAATTAATTTTGAAAATTTAATTCTAGTTGTATTTAATTTTGCCGAACGTGCTAATATTAAACCAGCTTGTGCATAAATATAATCAATGTCTATGATATTTCTCTCTTTTTTTGATATTGGAAATAGTGGCCAAATTAATGTTTCGGCAATTTTTAATTTTGTCAATTCATTGAGATGGGAAATTTTACCATTTTCATTTAAATCAATTAAATTATCAAGTTGACGATACATTTCTATTTTTAAATACAATGAACTTAAATTATTCGTTGTACTAACAACTTTTGCTAAATATCCATAAATATTTCCATATTGTGAAAATACAACATTACTGACAATATAGTCAAATGTTTCGTCAATATAATTTTCATCAAGAGTTTCATTTTCACCTCCACCATATAAATAATTGCCATTTAATAATTGTTTAATAAGTTTTTCTTTTCTTTTATTATTTTCATTTATGTATTTATATAAGGCGTTTATTATATTAAATTGTTGATATTGTTCTTCTTTTTGTAAGAAATTTTCTAAATATAATATGTCAGATAACATATTCATGCAATTAATTATAGAAAGCAATTGTATACTTGGTGTTACACCAATAAATAATGTAGAATTATTGTTCATTTTGTTGTCGTGTTTGAAAAAAATTAATTAATCAAATAATTAATTTTATTAACTCACTTGGCAATTTTTCCCATTATTTAATTTGTCCTCACCTGTAATTAAAAATTTAAATATTAATTTAATTTGTATTTTATAATTTATTATTATTTTATTACTTAAGGATTTTTTCAATTTAATAATTATTAAATGAGCTGCACAATCAAAGAAGGGCATATAACCCATTTTAAATGCCCTTTTTTGATCCGGCACCTCAATTAATATTAATTATTATTAATTATTAATAATTATTAAACATTATTAATCAATATCAATCATTATTCATTATTATTAATCATTATTAATCATTATTAATCATTATTAATCATTATTAATCATTATTAATCATTATTAATCATTACAAATCAATATTAAAGACTATTAATCAATATTAATCACTATTATTAATTATTATTAATCATTATTAATTACTAATAATCAATATTAAAGACTATTAATCAATATTAAAGACTTTTAAACAATATTAATTAGTATTATTAATTATTATTAATCATTATTAACCACTATTAATAATTTTTTAATCATTACTAATCATTATTAATCATTATTAATCATTATTAATCATTATTAATCATTATTAATCATTATTAATCATTATTAATCATTATTAATCATTATTAATCATTATTAATCATTATTAATCATTATTAATCATTATTAATCATTATTAATTATTATTAATCAATATTATTCGCTATTATTAACTATTATTTATTATTAAGCATTATTAATCACAATTAATCATTATTAATCAATATAAATAAATATTAATCAATATTAATCATTATTAATCATTATTAATTACTATTAATCAATATTAAAGACTGTTTAACAATATTAATTAGTATTATTAATTATTATTAATCATTATTAATCAATATAAATAAATATTAATGAATATTAATCATTTTTAATCCTTATTAATTAATATTAATCATTATAAATCAATATTAAAGACTATTAATCAATATTAAAGAATATTAATCAATATTAAAGACTTTTAAACAATATTAATTAGTTTTATTAATTATTATTAATCAATATTATTCGCTATTATGAACTATTATTTATTATTAAGCATTATTAATCACAATTAATCATTATTAATCAATATAAATAAATATTAATCAATACTAATCATTATTAATCATTATTAATTAATATTAATCATTATAAATCAATATTAAAGACTATTAATCAATATTAATCACTATTATTAATTATTATTAATCATTATTAATTATTAATAATCAATATTAAAGACTTTTAAACAATATTAATTAGTATTATTAATTATTATTAATCATTATTTATCAATATAAATAAATATTAATCAGTATTAATCATTATTAATCATTTTTAATTAATATTAATCATTATAAATCAATATTAAAGACTATTAATCAATATTAATCACTATTATTAATTATTATTAATCATTATTAATTATTAATAATCAATATTATAGACTTTTAAACAATATTAATTAGTATTATTAATTATTATTAATCATTATTAACCAATATTAATCATTTTTTAATCATTATTAATCAGTATTAATCAATATTAATCAATTGTAATAATTATTAGTCATTTTCACTATCATATGTTATGCGGAAATGACACTTATGCTTTTTCGAGTAAAGACCTTCTCAAAATTCGGGATTCAATTAATAGTGATTAATTATTAGTTGTTAATCATTATTAATTATTATACTCTCTAAATCTAAATTAGTAAAAATGTTTACTAATTTGAATTAGTGACTCACTTTTTGCTTCTGAATTAGTAAAATTTTACTATTTGTTAGTAAAAGTTACTAATAATAAGTAAAATTTTACTAATTGTTAGTAAAAGTTACTAATAGTTAGTAAAATTTTATTAATTCAGATTTTTGAGAGTAGTAAATAGTTTTTTCTCTTTCTTTTTGTAAAATGTAAAAAATAAGTAAATAATAATATATTTAATTACTAATAGTTTAATTACGTAAAAATACCTTTATTATACTCTTACAATTTTTCTACTGTTTGTCTATTAATACAAAAAAGACAAAATTTTTTTTTAAAAAAATATATTTGTTAAAAAATTAATAACAATAAACTCAGGGGGAATTAATAAAAAATTTACTACATATATTTTTTTTAAAATAAGAATTAATACTGATAAGTAATTGCCAAATTTTGTGACTTTATGTAGATTTAATATAGTTTATCTTTAAAAAATAAACATGAAATCTTTACACAACTGTTGAAATATTATGTAAAAATTAAATAAAAGTTACACGTGTTTTTTTTTGGATATTGTTATAAAATCATTTAAAATTTAAAAAAAAATTTTTTTTTAAAATTTGTATTTTAAATTAATTATTAATTTATTAATTGTAAACCTATAGATTAAAAATTTTTTTTTTTTTTTTAAATTCGGATTTGTAATAATTTTTTTTTTTGTGGGTAAAATTTAAAAAATAGTACTTAAATATAAAAAAAAATAATTTTTTTCTTTATATATAAAATTTAACTGAATTATTTCTGGAATATTTGAAGCGTTATACTTTATGCATGAATCCAACACACGTGCCGAGTACACGAGTAAAATACTCGTGCATATATTTAATTAAAGATGCCATAATAGTCCACGTAACGTGTGTTCAATAATTTTATATATATATATATATATATATATATATATATATATATATATATGTATATTTAAATATCACATGGAAACAATAGGATGAATGTAAACGTATCGAATATTTAATTACTCCTGTTTATAAATTAATGGTTGTTTTCCTCTTTGCCAAATATTAATAAAAACAGAAAATATGCCAAAAATAACAGAAAACAAAAAAGGAAATTATTTTCTACAATAGCAAAATTTGATAATTTTTATATTTTTCTTTCGAAAACACAATTTTATTTTTGATTTTTTCAATTCTAGATTTCGAAAAAAAAATTCATTTCAACCTTTTTTCTTTCTCATAAGAAAATAGTGAAAGATGTTATTTTAAAAATGAAACTTAGAACAACTTTTTATCAGAAATAAAAAGAAGTGAAAAATTGTGTGTTTTTTTTTTTAAAGAACTTTTCATCTTAAAAAAAGAAAATAAAAAACTGTTTTTAAAACTTTTTATCTGAAATAAAAAAAAAATTTTTTAATCTCTTATTTTTGAAATCTAATGAATTAGATGAAGTTTAAATTTCTTTTCAGATGTTTTGAAAAATAAATGAAGATTATGTTCTCATTGTGAAAATAAGAAAAAGAAAGAGAGAGAGAGAGAGAGAGAGAGAGAGAGATTTTGCAAGTTTTCTTATTTCCCTTGAAAATTATGTATGTTTTCATGTTACTCGACAATAAGGTCGTCAAGAAGTTTTTTACGGTCTCATTTTTCAAGAAAAACATTGCCGAGTTAGACGACCCTTGGTTGTTTTACCTGGTGTTGCTTTTGTCTTGGGTGTACGACGGTTACGTTAAGCATTCTTTTTCCTTCTCAAGCGGAATAATCAGTTTCGAGCCACCGGTAAGAGGACTTTCGCGCTTACTATTTCACCTCGATTAACAGGAAACTCACCATCCGCAAAGTGCGAAACTGGATACTCGCTTTGAAACTTCTCTTTTGTACAGTACAACACATTGCGTCCTGCAAGCTTGGAATAAATTACTACGCGAAATCCCGACAAGAATTTATGACTTTGATATAAAGCTCTCACTCTCTCTCTCACTTTCTCTCTATTTCCCATCTTTTTTATTTTTTTTTTCTCTCTCTCTCTCTCTCAGACGAAACGTAAATAGAGAAATGATCACATTGAACTAACAGTTACATTTATTCATTAAAAAACATTTCATTTACAGAAAATTTACTCAACATTTGAAATTCATGAGATGAATGGAAAGGGAGAAAAAGGGATCCGAATTTCGAGAGTTCACTGTCCTTTCTTTCTAGTTTTTCATTTATATAGCAACTTTTTTTGCGAGAATAAAAAATTAAAGATAGAACACAAAAAAAAAACAAAATTTTTATGATTTTTTTTTTTTTATTTAATTATTCTTGAGAATCATTAATTAGAATTTCAAAGAATTTTATTAGATATTTTTAGAATTTTTATTTTTCGAATTAGACAAATTTTAAACAAATTTTTACTTTAAAGAATTTTTAGGTGGCAAATTTTTAAGGAACCGAATTTTTATTTAGGAAAAATTTGCATTTTACTGAATTTTTCTCTACATAATTTTTTTAATTTAAAATAATTCTATATTAATCGAATTTTAATTCAGTATAATTCAAATTTAACAGAATTTTAAGTGATTCGAATTATTGAATGACAGAAACTCCAATTTACCGAATTTTCATGTGTCCGAATTTTTATTTGCACGAATTATTATTTAATAGAATTCTTAAAAGGGCGAATTTTCATTTGTCCGAAATTTCAAATAACCAAACAAAACAATCGACAGAAATATTTCGGTGCAATTTTTAAAATTTACCAAACGTCAGAAATTAAAATTTACCGAATTTTCAGGTGTCCGTATTTTTATTTGTACGTATTGTTATTTGATAAAATTCTTTAAATGACGAATCTTCATTTGTCCGAAATTGCAAATGCACCGAACAAAAAATTGACTTAAAGATTTCGGCACGATTTTTAAAATTCGCCGAATCAAAAATTATCAAAAAAAAAAAAAATTGTGATTGGTAAATTTTAAAAATTGCGCTGAAATATTTCTGTCGATTGTTTTTTGTTCGGTCATTTGAAATTTCGGACAAATGAAAATTCGTTCTTTTAAGAATTCTATCAAATAAAAATTCGTATTAAAAAAAATGCGGACAACAAAAATTCAGATAAATGAAAACTTAGTGAATTAGAGTTTCTCATATTTGGTAAATTCTAAAAATTGCGCCAAAATATTTCCGTTTATTGTTTGTTCGGTCATTTGAAATTTCGGACAAAAGAAGATTCGATCTTTTAAGAATTCCAATAAATAAAATTTCGTGCAAATTAAAATTCGGATATATAAAAATTTGGCTACATGAAAATTCGGTAAATTGAAGTTTCTGACATTCAATAATTCGAATCACTTAAAATTCAATTAAATGAGAATTATTCTAAATTAAAATTTGATTATAAAATAGAATTCTATTAAATAAATATTTGTCTAATGAGAAATTATGTAAAATTGAAAAAATTCTGCTAAATATAAATTTGGTTACCTAAAAATTTGGTACACTAAAAATTAGGAATCTTAAAATTCTGTAAATTATCAATTTAGTTTTTGAATTATTTTTGATTTACATACATGGAAAACAAATGTAATTTTCTTAAAAAAATTGTAACTTAAATTATAGAAAACAAGATTGATACCAAAATCCTTTAGTAATTTAATTTCAAATTTATTCCTATTGATTAAATTGAACGTGAAATCTAATCGTTGTAAGGAACTTGATCTTTTGCTATAAATATATATATATATATATATATATATATATATATATATATATATATATATATATATATAAAGTGTATAGATGTATATTGTAAATTTCACTTAGGTTGTGAATTTTTCAAGTTGTTTCATTCCTAAAGGAAAACTTCGATATTCCTCATCTCTTTAAAATTTTAAAGGATCGGTCTGAGTTCTTTTCTTCCTTGAATAATTTCAGATGTTTATTCTTTCCCGAGGTTATTACTCCGTTGGCAATTGTTTATGTTTACAACCACTCTTATTTACTGTTGTTGAAAAATTTATATACCAAATTCTATATATATATATATATATATATATATATATATATATATATATATATAAAGAAAAAAAATCGCGAGCTACTGTTTATTATATCAATTTTATTTTCCAACAATTTTTTATTTATACAGTTGGAAATTATTTTAATAATAATAATAATTATTATTATTATTTGACATTATCATATAAAATGTATACAATAAATTGTAGTTTATCTAGTAACTCATTTTGAGCAATTTTAATGTTTTAGCACAAAATTTTTTATTAATTATTTATTATTCAATTATTTCTATTTATTTAATTATTTATTAACTATTTGAGTAACTATTTATTAAATATTATTAATTCTTAGTAATTAGTCATTAATAATTATTAGTAATTGATAATAAGTAATTAGTTATTATAAGTAATTGCTATTAATTAATATTTATTGGTAATTTACAATTATTAATAATTGGTAATTAGTAATTATTAATATTTGGTTATTAATAATTAGTAATTTTTAGTCATTAATAATTAGTAATTACTATTAATTTATATTAATTGGTAATTTACAAATATTAATAATTGATAATTAGTAATTATTAATAATTGGTTATTAGTAATTAGTATTAATTAATATTAATTGGTAGTAATTAATTATTAGTAATTGATAATAATAATTATTAATAATTAGTTATTAGTAATTATTAGTAATTAGTAATTATTAGTAATTAGTAATTATTAGTAATTAGTAAGAATTTATTATTATATATTTTAAGATTTTGTACGTTATAATTTTTAATGAAAATCTTTTGGAATAGATTATGCATAACTTTTATTCATGATTCCATATTATTATTAAAGGGCGATATAATTTTATGAACACAAAATAAATGGAAATAATAATAATAATAATAATAATAATAATAATAATAATAATAAATTAAAATAATGTTTTTATAAACTTTTTTAAACTCACTAACAATATTTATCATATATTTATTATATTTTTTTTAGCGATAATATCGTTGATGTCAATATTCACTTGCAAGGATATCGATATTCATGAATATTGATGTTTTCATTTCGACATTGCATATCAGTACCTTGTGCACCAATAGTAAATATAAACCACAAAGGCCTTTCTATATACAATAAATTGCTCTACATTATTTCCATTTATCATGCAGCATGATTTTAGTATACGTAACTTAATATTGCTCATATAAGCAAGTTGTCATAATATCAATTGCTCTTGAAAATTATTGCGTTGCAATATTCAAAACTAGATGCGGAAAATTTCTGCAAATTCAAATACATGTAATAATTATAATTAATTACCATAATAATAATAATAATAATAATAATAATATAATATTAATTAATAGTTATTATGATTATTGTAAATAATTAGAATAATATTATTATTAATTAATAATTATTATTAAAAAAAAAGTAATAATTATTCTTATATTAAGAAGGCTGTGCATGCCAACATCTCTAAATTTTGAATTTTTGAGGTTATGTTCGTATTTAAGCTTTAGTTTGATCTAATTTTAAGGTTATGTTTACTGATTTTAATTTTTTGATATAAAAATTAGAAATGTTACTTTGAATTTTGACGTTATATAAGTAAGGGCCAAAATGCAAACATAACCTCATAATTCAAGGCCAAATTTTAAGGACAGTTCAAGACGCCGCTGGGTTTGAGGTTAAAAGCGACTAATATAACCTCAAAACTAAGTCAAGAGACCGCTGGGTTTAAGGTTAAATCGACTAACATAACCTTAAAATTATATCAATTTTTAGGTCAAGACGTCACTTGGTTCTAGGTTAAATCGGCTAACATAACCTTAAAATTAGGTCGGACTAACAACCTCAAAATTCAATCAGTTCCTAGGTCAGGACGCTAACATAACCTCAAAATTAGGTCAATTTCTAAATCAAAAGGCCACTGGGTTTAAGATTATTTTGATTTTGTTAGTATTTTAACCTTGAACTTTGACTTTTGAGGTTATACCCAGAAAAAAAATTTTTGGTTTCAAAGAAAGTTGCTTTATTTTAAAAAAAATTTTCTTTGAATCAAAGAAATTTATTCATTGTTACAGAGTTAAAGAAAAATTTCTTTGATTTAAAGAAATTAATGTGGCACGAAATTAATTACTTTTTTTGTGTTGACTCAAAAGAAAGATTTTTTTGATGTTACGAAATTTTTTATTTAAATCAAAGAAATAAATTTGAGGTTAAAATCAGAGTAAAATTAAACCTAAAAACATAGATTATTATTGTCCGTATGTTCGTCGTATGGTATTAGAATTTTGCTATATATATATATATATATATATATATATATATATATATATATATATATATATATATGGTTATGAATTGAAAATCTCGTTAATCGAATAAGTGTCACTCACATTTCAATATTGAATAACCATGTTATGTATGTCGCATGACTATATACATATATATATATATATATATAAATTTGAGAATAAATTTCATTAATGAACCCAACGTCAGCATTGGCATTTGAATCATAGTAGCTTCACGCGTAATAGAATCTAACGAGCAACGTCATGTGCGATTAATTAAGTGTAGGAAACTAAATGCAAAAGTTTGCTCCTTCACCACAAATTTTCTGCTTTTTTATCGTTTTTTTTTTTGTATGTGTATTTATTTTTGTTTTTTTTTTTTTATTTTAAAAATTGCAAACTCGTTAATTGCTCTTTTTTTTATTGAGGCAGCTCGTTTCAACCATCAAAATAAAATAAGCATTTATTGCCGGAGACGAATGTGTTTCATGCATATAAAAGGGAAAGGGGGACAAAAATAAACGTTTGCTGAAAACGATGAATCGTGTGAAAAATTCATGTCATGCTGTTAGCTGGTGAAAAAAAAAAAGTTAAGAGCTTTTTTTTTTTAATGTCCCGAGGGCTTGTAACTCTTTTTGAAAGTATAGCGAAAGAATGAAAAGTGTTTAAAAGTTTGCTTTGGGACACACGTCTTTTTCTATTTTTTGGGGAAAAATTTGTCTTTTCAGTTTAAGTCGAATGAGAAAGTAACGAAAAGTAAGTAGTTTTTTTTTAAATTTTATAATTAGGTTTTTGACTATTAACAAATTTTCTTCTTTAATATATATTTTTTTTGAATTTTTTTTTCTCATAAAAAAATTTTTGTGAATATTTTAACAAAAAAAAAAATTTTTTTTTTCTATGAAAGTCTGGTAAAAAAAATGGAAAATGAAGATAACGAGGGCATTATTGGTCACTGTTTAAAAAAGAAAATAGAAAAATGGGAAAAATGAGTAAAATTCGTTATTTCCACTCAGTGGGGCATTAAAATTTTATAAGATTCATGAGTTGGTAGGCAGTCAGTTTGAAGTAATCTGGGCAATGTTTTGTGCATAAAGGGTGATTAATAAACAACTCTGAAGCGAGCTCCGTGAAATTTATCGATAGGCATTATCTCGGAGGGTAATCCGCTGGCTAGAGATGGATAATATTCCAGTACACTGTCGACAGTTTTAATACCCATTTTATGATGGTGAGTTTATTTCAACAATTTGCAACTTTTGAAAATTCAACTTTACAATTTCTCAAACCATTTATGACTATAGTCGCACATTTTTCAATTAGCAAACTATTACATAAACTTTGTGGGAAATCATAATTAAATATACTTCCAAAAATTTTAAATTTATCAAACATGATGAAAACTTTTGATTAAAATCCAAAAAATCGAAATAAGTAATTTTTTATTATTGAAAAATATTAATTTTAATATTTTTTATACACTCTTTTTGTAGTAACCGTGAAATAAGTATAATATCATGTATTAATAGTAACTTTCTACAATGAATTAGTAGTAGTTTTCTACAATGAATTATTAGTAGTTTTCCACTATTGACTACTAACTTTCTACTATGAATTAGAAGTAGTTTACTACAATCAATTATTAGTAGTTTTCTACTATTGACTAGTAACTTTCTACTATAAATTAGTAATAGTTTTCTACTATTGACTAGTAACTTTCTACTATAAATTAGTAGTAGTTTTCTACAATGAATTATTAGTAGTTTTCTACCATTGACTAGTAACTTTCTACTATAAATTAGTAGTCATTTTCTACAATGATTTTGTAGTTTTGATTGACTAGAAGTTTTGATTATTGACTAGAAAATTCTTCAATTATATAATAGTTTTCTACCATTAATTAGTATCATTCTACAATGAATTATTAGTTTTCTACTGTTCACTAGTAACTTTCTACTATGCATTAATAGTTTTTTAATATAAATTAGTAGTTTTACACTTTTTACTAGTAACATTCTACAATGAATTAGTAGTTTCCTACTATTGACTAGTAAATTAACTAGTAACTTACTGCAATAAATTAATAGCTTTCTTATATTTATTAGTAGTTTTTTTACTATTGATTAGCAACTTTCTACAATTAATTGTTTTCTTTTATGCATTAGTAGTTTTCTACCATTAAGTAGTAAATTCTACTATGACATAATAGTTCTCTACTAATGATTAGTAAATTTCTACAATTAATTAGTAGTTTTTTACTGTTGACTAGTAACTTTCTACAATGAATTAGTAGTTTTCTACTATTGACAATTATCTTTCTACTATGAATTAGTTGTTGTTTTCTGCTATTAACTACAATGAATTAGTAGTTTTCTACTATTGACTAGTAAATTTCTACTATTAATTATTAGTTTTCTACTGTTAACTAGTAACTTATTGCAATAAATGAATAGCTTTCTTATATTAATTAGTATTTTTTTTACTATTGATTAGTAACTTTCTGCAATTAATTGTTTTCTTTTATGCATTAGTAGTTTTTTTGTTATTGGACTAGTAACTTTCTACAATGAATTTGTAGTAGTTTTCTACTATTGATAACAATAAATTAGTAGTAATTTTCTACAATAAATTAGTAATTTTCTACTAGTAAGTAGTAAATTCTACAATAACATAATAGTTCTCGACTATTGATTAGTAAATTTCTACAATTAATTAATAGTTTTTTTACTGTTGACTAGTAACTTTCTACAAGGAATTAGTTGTTTTTTATATGAATTAGTAGTTTTTCACTATTGACTAGTAACTTTCTACAATGAATTAGTAGTTGTCTACTATTGACTAGTAACTTTCTACTATGAATTAATTGTAGTTTTCTACTATTGACTACAATGAATTAGTAGTTTTCTACTATTTACTAGTAACTTTTTACAATGAATTATAGTAGTTTTATACTTTTGACTAGTAACTTTTTATACAATAAATTAGTAATTTTCTGCTATTAAATAAGTTTATAAATAAAAAAAAATAATAATAAAATTAATAATAGAAATCAAAAATTCGGAAAATGTTTTTTTACATAGGGAAACAAGTTACTTTGTTTTTTTTTCTTATTTGAACTGTGAGAAGACAAATTTGTCAAGATAAAATAACAGCGAAGTCTCAACGCAAACTTTTAAACATTCTTTACCTATTTTTCTCTACTTTAAAAAATTTGTTACTAAACTTTCTTGGAGTTGAAAAAAAGCTTTTATAACTATATTTCACTAGCTAACAGCATGACAATTTTCTTAATATACAATAATTCCTTGTTTTCTATATTTTTTTTAATTATTCAAAAAATAGAAAATAATAATTTGTATTGTCTAAAAAAAAATTTATTTTCTTCTTTTATTTAAAATAATTGATTTTTTTTTAATTTTCTTTTTTCATTTACCAGTATCAGATTATATTAAAAAAAAAAAGAAAAAAATAGCGCGAGATTTTTTTTTTTTTATATTTCCATTGTAGCGAGAAGGGGGGGGGGGAATCGATTTCAAGTCCAAATCGGACAAACCCAGTTTTATTGGAATTGTTCAATTTCAGCGTACTATGCGGTTCCGCCGTTTCGCAAATCTCTCGCCAAAAGACATTCGAGATAGAAACGCATATTCCGTTGAGATCTTGAAAAATCAAGGGCGCAAAAGAGAAATCCTACTTTCTTCTCAGCGTGGCAAAAAAAAGCTCCCCTTAAGCCTTCTTGGGGGAAAAAAAAAAACTTTTTTTTCTCTCTCCTTTTTATTGAAATTTTCCCCATTTTAGTTTTGCAATAAAGACATATTAAAGTATTGAATTTTTTTTTTCCAAATTACAAAAAAAAATATATATATCTAAACGACAAAATATGTATAATAATAATTTTTTTTTCTGTATTATTTCCGTGGCAAATAAATTTATTTCTATATTCTCTGTTGTTCCGTGGTATACAATTTTCCACACCCTGTATTATTCTGCTGTAGAAAATCCTTCTTATCAGGAGCTGTCAGAGAGATAGAAACTGTCACATGAATTCTGAGCACGAATGGAATTTTTTATTATTTCCACTTACTTTTTTTTCATTTTTTTTTTTTTACTGTTATAGTTGAGATTTAAAAAAAAAAAATTTCCGAAATTGTAAAATACTGATTTGGAAATAAAATTCAAAAAAAATTACAATCAAATTTTAGTAGTTTAAAGTAAATGAGATTTTTTTTTTTTTTTTTATTGTGTATAGCAATTTTTTTTCCTGCTTTGAAAAAGAGAAGTTATTCCTTACGATTCGTTACAATTTGAACAATTAGGTACACAATAGCGGAAGATTTCTCTCTCGACTGGAGGTTAAATAGGAGAAAAAAAAAAAAGTATCTTTCTTGCAGTGCATTACCACCTCGGAGACCACTAAATTCGTATTACCGTCAAGTCGTGGCGTCGACAATAAAAGTCGAATGTGAGCATGAATCTCGACATTGATTTACGAAGGTTAAGAGATAAAGAAGTAAGACGAGCACTTACTGTGCTACCAAAGTCCATCGATCAATCGTTATTACTCTAATCAATTTATTATAGACTTTTATCGTTTCGAAACAGGCAGATTTTTCAATACTTAAATAGCAGAGCCACTTAAGATACAAAAAAAAAAAAAAAAAAAAAACAAATTTCCCATCTCTCCTCGTTCCCAAAAAAAAACAATCTGTGCTTAAAAAAAATTTTCTCTATTTTAATTTACAATAAAAAAATGTCTTTGGTAAACGTTTATTTAAAAAAAAATAATTTTTAACTTCCACTCTAATATGGGAACAAATAATAATAATAATTGAAGAGGGTTTATTTTAAAAAACGTTTTTAAAAAAAAATTAATTTCCACTCTAATATGCGAAAAAAATAATAATTGAAGGAAATAAAGTATCGAGTGTTCTGTGTGATTTCAAACGTTTTTACCAGTTGTCCATAAATTCTTAAAATTCCGGGCAGAACGTTTTACGCTATGCGCAGGAAAGCACGTATGGGTATTTTCAGAGAACGTGACGTCTTCCAGAAACCACCTGCTAGAATTAAATATTTGAAACTGGTTTAGCCTTGAACGAAACCAGAACATTTGATATAGAGAAAATTATAAATTTTTTTCTAAAACCAATTTCAATAATAGTGATATTCTGCACATATGTAATTTAACTTCTCAATTAGATTACATTTTTTTTTTTTTTTTTTTTAATATTTCCGTTAAATAAATTTCCTTAATATTTGCACAAATATCAATTTGTATAGAA